TTTTAATATTAAAATAATTTTTAATAAAATATATAAATAGTATGAATAGGTATTATTAAAAAAAATAAAATAACTAACACTAATACAATAAAACAAGTGAATATGTATATTAAGAATAAATCCTGCAATGTTTGTATAACTATTTGTAATTGTCTATATATAAACCAATACAAACTAGTTATTATATTGTGCCCACATTTGATTTGTAATATGATCCCTAAATATTGCCATTTCAGCTGCACCTTCATCGAATAATTTGATTAAATTATGATCATTTGAGCTAGTTTCCTCTATACTTGAATCTCTGTTCTCATACTCAATACTGATAGGATCCATTTCCTCCCATATCCTAAATAAATCATCATTCAAATTTCACTTCCGTATATAATTATGAATAGCACAACCTGCTATTACTATAAGTCGTTGCTTAGAAGGTTTGTATGGAGGCATCAACTTCAAAATAGGAAACTTGTTTTTCAATACTGCAAAGCAACGGTCAATTGTCATTCTCAAAGAAGAGTGTATGTAGTTGAATAACTCTGTAGGACTCCTTGGTTGTCTGACTTGGCCTCTATATTCCTAAGCATGATACCTTTCTCCCCTATAAGGGGGAAGAAAACCTCTCGTACATGGATAGCCAGAATTAACAAAATAGAACAAACCTACATAACATTGAATATATATTTATGAATATTTTTTATGAACAAACCTATAAAAATAGTTAAGTTATACTATAAATACTCACCTTTAGATGGCCATGGAAAATTTGCATTTGGGTTGGTGAGTGCATCCAAAGAAACTTTTGAATCATGTGCATTTCCTTCCCATCCCAAATATACAATGTAAACATCATATTAAAATCACAAGCACACATAATATTTTGTGTGATAGCTACCTTTCTATCTTTATATGCAATTTGTTTTTCAGCAAGAACTCATGCACTTATATGAGTGCCATCAATTGACCTATGCAGTTCTATAACAATAACTCAAAATAAAAAATTAAGACAAGATAGAATAAAATAAGAATTGAGAATTGATTAAAATAATAAATAAGTATTACATACATACCTTGAACCAAGGATAATATTTTGACTCATTTCTAATCTTGCTAGGCAATTCTGTAGATTATTGTTTTATCAGCTCTTTTTCCAACAAGCACACTGCTCTTAACACTTGCTTAAAATAACGAAAAATTGTTTCTGTTGAGTGCTGAAAGCGATCTGCAGCAACTCTGTTATTTAAATTAAAAAAACTCAGCTAACTCATAAGATACCGTGAAAATTTTGGGAAGAAGGAACTAAATTTGCAAAAGGAGAGAATTTGTCCATCTATTTAGGTGGTATATTTATCATAACTAGAGATCAAATTCAAAGTTGATATGCAGTCTATGATTGAGCTCGCTTGAATTATATCCCTCCCTTACCTAATCTTACTAGTTTCACAGTGCTCTTTCCCATTGTCAGTATTACTCAGATAGCATCAACCAAATCTCAATATCATATCTTATACGTCTCTTATTCAATCAATATAATATAAAAGTTCAAAATTTAGCTATGCTAACAAGACATTCAGTATAATTGCAAAAATTAAAGGAATGTCGACAATACTAAAACCACTCATACAAATATTAAAATTTCAAAAATGCTCAATTGCTGATAGCACATCATTTTCAAACACTACCTTTATTTCATTATCTTCAATCAAACATTTAGAAAAAGAGAGAAAAAAATGCAAGAAGAGAAGAACCAAACATGAGTTTTTTTTCCCCAAATATGTTGATGCTTGTGAGAAAGAATATAAATCCAAATCAAAATCAAAATCAAAATCAAGATTGGTAAAAAAAATCCAAGATGAGAAAAGGGAAAAACCGGAGAAAAAACAATGGTGATGGTTTAAGAGTGCTAAGAAGCTGACAAAGTAGTAAAGTTGCTGTTGCGAGCTGGGAAGACGTGAGAATGTTATAAAGATGCTGAAAGTTTGCCCGTGTGCCGGGGAGATGTGAGAATGTTGTGAAACTCTAACCCATTCCATTTACATTTTTTATTTTATTAATTTATTTACAAGAATGCCATTAATGAGAAATGACTTTTCTGCATCTTGCAAATTTTGAAAAAAGAAACCAAAATTTAAAAACGAAAACACCTTAGAAGATATTCTATATTTTAATTTTAAAAATTGAAAATAAAAACTTGTTTTTAAAAATAATTTTTAAAATTTAAATTAACAAACAAGTTTTGAAGTTTTTAAATTTTAAAAATTGAAAACTCTTTTTAGGAAGGGGAAACAAACAGCCCCTAAGTCTTTTGGGAAACAAATCGTTCCCATCTAACACTTTACAGCTGCCCATCATTTAACAATCAAAACTATTATTTATTAAAAAATATAAAATCAGATTTATTATTAAGATGGATTATTATTTTTTAAATTTCTCTCTTAAAAATTAAAATAATAATTATTTTAAATTTTACTTTCCATATTTTCTCTATTCTTTTATTACTCTATATAAACCGTAAATAGAATATTTTACAATATTAATAAAAATAAATAAAATATTAATAAAAATAAATATATAAGAAATGAGAAAAAATATTATTTAAATGAACAGAAATAAAAAAATTACTTCACTTTGATAAATAAAAATAGAGAAAATAAAATCAATTTATATAAAAAAAATTTATAATGACAATAAAAAAATTTATTTCAAAAAATAAAAAATTATAATATATTTTTATTTACAAAAATTTTAAATTCTTTTAAAAAAATGTATTATTTTAAAATTTATTTTAATAAAATAAAAAATATTATAACATTTTTCACACGAAATATCATATTTTGTGTGGGAAAAGTCTATTATAAACCTCACAAAATATATTATTTTTCAGTCATATAAAATAAAACATTTAAAAAATATTTTTTCCATTAAAACAAACAATGGTAAAGTGTACAGATGCATTCTATAAAATTATTTTTTCTATTAAAACAAAGGTATAGTAATCATAAAAAAAATATATTTTTTTAACGTCTTATTTTTTTAATAATAAATTTATTTTTAATTTGAAATATTTTTTATATTATATAAAATTTATTTGAAAACAAAAATTTAAAAGAACCCAGCATCCTCTCCTCAGTCCTCACTCACGAAAGCATCATTTCATTCCATAGAACACTGGAAATTAAATATGAAGAGTCCTCATAATAATTAATATGTAAGGATTTGGAGAGTAAAACAATTCTCAGAGCCAAAAAAAAGATATGTCATTTGAGACTAATCACTCAACTCATAAGTTTATTGGTTTTCCAATTATTTCACTAAGACAAAAATATTTTCTGCTTTGGAATTATGTGCTCCCAGAATAGAAAAATGCTTCGCGTGTTAAAATTGATTTCTGAACATCTTTATAGTGGTTATCTATAATTTCTTTAAGATCTATGATAATGCCTTGATGAAATTGGTTAATTTTATAGTGGTTATCTATATTTTCAGAGAGTAAATTCTTTTTCCAGACACTTTAGCAATGTTGTAACAGGAATGAAGTTTATAAGCTTTGGATTTGGTTGTATCACTCTTTTAAAAGAGTTGTTCTCGATATTTGCTTGAGGATTTATTTGTTGTAGTGTTTGCCTTTGACATAATCCACTTGATTGATTACTTTGGTCTTCTGGTTCTTTAAAACACTGCATCGAAAAACATGTAAACAAGTTGTCATATATTTCTGAGTGTACTGGATAGGGAACTGCTCGGTCTTATATATAGAGAAAGTAAACTAAATACCTATTCGGCCTAGTTTGGCCGAATACTTAGTTATCAAGATTACAAGATAATTAACTCAATTAAGAGTAATAATTAGAGTATTATCGACATTAACTAAAATGCCAAAATCAAGACTGACTCAGCAGACCCATTAGTCCATAACAATGCCTATGAAAAGAAGGTAGGAAGTACAGGTAAATGATTGACTTTCATTATTTAATAGTATTTATTGCTCAGAACCGAATCATGACTTCAGTATTGGAGTGCCTTTTGTAAGTATTCTCCCCACCGGCAGCAACAATCAGAGAGACGTCATCACTGTAGATCAGAGATTTGAAGATTAGTGTTTTCTAAAGAGAAACACTGAGTATTTGAATAAAGTTTAACAACGTCTTGTGAAGCAAGCAGTTCTTCCAACCCAATTTTTTGCAGTTTGTGTGTGAAGACTCGGCAATGATGAGAAGTCAAACTGCGAGAAAGAGAGCACTTCTCAGCAGAGAGTCTCGGTTTATACCGTCAGAGAAGAGGAAAGCGAGGGAAAATTAAATTTGACTTTAACGATTGTTAATGGAGACTTTTCAAAAAAGTTTTTAAAAGTCTCAGTAATTTTTTTAAAAAAATAAATAATTTAAAAATAAAAATTTACCAATAGATTTAAAATAATAATAATATTTTTAAAAATATTAAAAAATGCTTTTAAACAATTTTTTTATATTTTTTTAATTTTCTCAAAAGACTATATTTTAATAATTGACTTTTTGTTTATTTGTTTTTAGTTCCTTTTGTTAGGTTTTAACATTTCCTTTATCTTTTCTTTTTGTAACAAATAAAGTACTGTCGTGGGAATGAAGATTAAATAAAATTCACTTCGATATTAGTTAGATTTCGAGTGTTTATTATGTCAATAGAAAGCGTAATGAGTCTTTTTGGAATTTATCATTTAAAATACTTAATAATGAAATATATATTTTGATTAAGACTAATTAAAAATATAAATAAAAATATTTGATAAGAGGAGAAACTTATTTTTAATTAAGAAACAAATTCACTTCAAATTAACTAACTAATAATTTCCTTATTTATTTTTATGAAAATAAAATATTAATATTAATTTTTTTGGGGCCTACAACAAGTACTTTAGGCTAAGCCCGGTCCTTCGTATGAATTCTTATAAAATCATCTCAATGATATGAATATTTCTCACCTTGAAAATTAAAGCAAACAAGTAACATCATAATTACTGTAAAATAGAAAAATAGTTAATGTTATTTAGAAGAAAGCAAAACTTCATCATATGCAATACATGAAGCTCTGATATTTTTAAAATACATATAAAATACACGGTTTAGTGCATTTCATACGACTATACGAGGAATGAACTACCTAACAAATATTTAAAGTTACAAAGCAAAATGTAGTAATGGAGAAATACAAGAAAAAACAGAGTCTAATAGCCAAGAGGGGCACTCAAAGAAGCCCTAGCTTCTAATACTTGTGACTCTTGTTGAATTATACTCTCCAAAATAGCTTCAGAAGATGCCACTTGATGCTTAAGATCCTTCACATGCTGAGTCAAAATGCGTTTTGAGTCCAATAATTTCTGCAATGCATCTTCAGATGCTTGTAAACTAGGAAACAAGGCACGTCTTTCAACACCATCTAACCAATTCTTATCAAAACTAAAACTTCTCATGTCTTGCATTAACTCCATAAAGTTAGAGTGCTTTGACCCTAACACTTCCAAAACACTGTGTGTTTGGAGGAATTTCAGTAGCTCAGCCAGGCAAGTGTAGGCATAACCCTTGTATTTGTTACTAAATGCATTGTCTTTTAAACGAAGAGAAGTATGCTTTGCCAAAAATTCAGTCAACTGAGTCATGTTCTCAGAAGCCAAATACTTGTTGGAGACCAGTTGCTCAAGTTCACTTTTGAGAGAAGCAAAACTCACATCATCCATGGTTTGAGAAGGGCTCCCTAAAAGTTAATCAAAGACTAATTAAGCATGACCACAAAAAATATACTTAAATGTTTTTAGTTTTTATAAACATGATGAAATTTAATTCTAGTGTTTTAGAAAAAATTGTTGGTTTTGATTTTCATAATTTTAATTTTTATAAAAATGATCCTTTCCGTCACTACATTATGATAAGGCATATTTCTAATCATTTCATATGAACAACTATTCTGAGTAGCAAGTGATATAATATACTTAAATGCATGACACATTAAGTGTCCAAGACTATTTTTAAAAGTTTTTAAAATTTATGAGACTAAAATCAACTTTTTTTTTAAGAGACTAAGCTAAATTTAACCATATTTACAGATACTAAAACTATACTTTCTATAAAAAAAATTAGCAAAATAAAAGGGGCAAAAGTACCTTCAAATGGCACTGAAAGAGACTTGCATACAACATTGGAAGGGATGCCAGGGAAGGGATTAGAATCTGGAACTCTTATGCCATCATTGTTAAGAAACAGTTCCTCAACCATTGAGCTTACTTTCATGGAAGCATCACCGTTCAAAGAAACTAAACGAAAAGTGGGTTGGGGGGGGGGGGGGAGAAAGAGTTCAAAATCAAAGCACAAATGTTATAACATAAAAAAAGAAAGTGGATGCATGAGGGAAGACCTGGATCATGAGAGTTAGTGAGGGCATGCGCTATCTCTGAAGTTTCTTGAGCAGAGGGAGGCACAACTAAAACAGATGGTATGGCCATTTGGCCATCTCCATGTTCCTGCAAGGATTCAAATAATTAAGCAAATGTTGCATCATCTTAAAAGTTTTATCTTTACATAGTCATCCTCATTATATTCATCCTCATTTTCATTGAAATTAATGAATTAGGAACATTACAATATTACTTTTAAGCACACAAACACATTTGGAAGCTTGACTAAATATAGTAAACTTACACGTGGATATGTTTCACCCTTAGAAGCAACTGATGGACCTAGTTCTGAACGAGTCGATGATGTTATTGACTTGAAATTCGCTGATGTATTTCCTTCTTCAACATTTCTCTTAATACCCTTCACATAATCATAAAATTGTTTAAATTCAGAGCATTCTTTTACTCTTATATTGAATATAAACAGGAAAATACTTTTTGTAAAGGAGATAGTAATGGTCGTAGTGATGTGTTCCTTATTTCTGACTTCATCAGTAGCGTTGCTGTTGTATTTTTCCCTGACATAGAACCTTCTTGAGTACTTTGGTTCTCTCTGTCTTTCAAAGACTGTATACCAAAAAAAAAATGTAAATAAGTTACAATATATTTCTAAGAAAAATATTTAAGGTACTTTTCATTTCCTGTCAAGTTTTTTTAGCATCGTGTACATAGTTAGGTAGTGGCATGCCATTATTTCCTTGAGGAACTTCAAAAACAATATCAGTTTCTCCAAGGGGCTGTTGTTCTTTCATTGAGGAATGTTCTTCCATTGGTGTTTCATTGAAGAATGTTCTCCCATAGTTAGGCGATGCTACTATCACGACATTGGCTGATGTTGTTCCTACTTCAAAATTTCTCTCAACATCCTGCTTGTAAAAAAATATATATTAAGGTTTGGAGCATATTTATATTCTTATGCTGATAGAGATAAAAAGTATAACAAGGGAATGCCTCTTGTATAGGAGGAAGCAATTGTCTGGGTGATGTGTTCCCTTTTTCTGAATCCATGAATAAAGTTGTTGTAATAGTTTGCTTTGATACAAAATCCTCTTGATTACTTTGGTCCTCTATTTCTTTAAGACACTGTATTCCAAAAAAATGTGAATAAGTTGTAGTATATTCCTAAGAGGTAATCGAAATACTATTCATTTCATGTGAAGTTTTAGAGCATTATATGCATATTTAGGTGGTTACATTATTTCCTTGAGAAATTTTAAAGGTGGTATCAGTTAGTCCAATGGCCTGGTTTTGGTTCATCAAGCATGGTTCTCCTGTTGATTGTTCATCCAACAACACCTAAATGAGTGCAGAAGCATTAGTTTGAGCTATTAGTTTTCTCCAATACTAAGAATACCTCAATAGTATACTTACATCTGAATATGCTTCATGCCATTTAATTGGTGATGTTGTTGCCGATGGTATCTTTAAACTCGAATCTTCTTCAACAATTTCATGCTTTATCTCTGCAATGGATTGATTCGTATTGACTTCTGAAGAAGCCAACTCACTTTGGGATGTTGCTTGGACTTCCAGCTCACCTTCGATGTCTTCAGTGATTTTTGTAGTTTGACTTTCATTGCTAGGATCTTGGATTATTGAGTCTTTAAGATCTTGAGTAATGTCTTTTATTATTTCCCAAGAATAACAACCTTCCACAATATTTGTAACAAAATATTAAAGATTAACAACTCATTTAGAGAATAAGTCATTGGAATAAAAAACAAATATGTTCACTCGCTAGGGTAAATAAAAAACAAATACAATGTATATAATGTATACCTATGTAGGCATAGTGTAAAACTGTACGCTTCAACTGATCGGACTCTATCGTTGAAGTCAAAGAGAGATTTGGACAACTCTGCACCCAAAGAATTGTATTCTCCAATTCAATCCCCTGGCTGAGGCTGAAGATTGGTAGTTTTACAAATACCAAAAGTCTTAGCTGTGGAAACTCAACTTTTTGATCAGCTTCGCATCTGAATACTTCCTTTAACTCAGAGGCTTCTTTTATTATCAGAAGTCTTAGCTGAAGAATCTCTTTAGAAGTGGAGACAGGAAAGAGATATGTTAATTTGTTGCATTTTTCGACCACTATCACTTCTAGCTTTGGTAAAGACATTTCCTGATTTTCTGCATTCTCTTCAATGATCTGCTTTAATTCTTTACATTCTCTTATAATTAGAATCCGCAACTGTGGTAAGCATCTTGAAATAGAAGCAGTGAAGATTACTTCTAATTTCTCACATTGCACAATGATTAACTTCGTAAGGTTTTGGAGGGTAAAAGAATTCTTAGGACCTACAAAAAGATAGGTCATATGAGGCAGATCTTCCAACCTAATGTTTTCCCACCCTAGAATGATTTCGTGCCCAATTATTTCATTGAAGCAACAAATATTTTCAATTTTGGAGCCATCTACCCAGAGATCTCTCAAAGAGAGCAGATGCTTGGTCTCACTCAACTCCTGCAAAGAATAAATAAAGTCCCATAAATAAAAAAAATTCCATTAATATTTTCAAAATAACATCTAGAATTAGGACTAGTAAAAGAAGGATATCACTAATAGTTTCTTGCTAATCACATTTTTAAAATAATATCTCATTTTGAATTTTGGTTACATGGATAACACAGGCTTTTAGGTTATTTAGGAACTTATAATTTAATTTTTTTAAAATTAAGTTAGTAACACTGTTTGATAACCACAAAATGAAAAAAAAATATATAATTTTTAAAAATTAACGATTGGAAAGACCGTTGAAATAACAATTAGGACAATAATTTTATTTCATTTTTACTCTTATCCTTCATAATGAATTGTCTTTGTAATTATAATTCTTAAATGAATTTTATCTCCTCATTTAAGTTAATATTATATTTATAATACTAAAAATATTTTCTAATCCTTGAATATATTTTACCGAACCTTTCTAATTTAACTATCTACTTATTATAAAGTCATAAGTTTCCTAAGTATAAGTTTTTAGCTATTTATGTATAAAATAATTATAATGTTACAACAACAAACTCGTATCTTGGTAGGTGATCAAATCAGTTAGATGAATTAAATGATGTTACAATGTTAGCATTTATTAAGAAAGAAAATGAATCTTTAACATAATAATAATTGGATTAAAGGAAGGGTACCTTAATAGATGTGTTACTCAAAGGTGACAATGTAGTGCTATAGTTTTTCGAGCAAATTCCGATTAAACATGGCAGATCATGTAACCAGATACTTTCCAAGAGAGGAAGATCAACATTTATCTGATTATGATTCCGATGATCATCGCAACTTCCGAATATATATTCCAATTGCCTACAACTTTTCACATTGATCACTTTCAATTTTGGAAACATATAACTCAAATTACTGTCACCAATGTCTATTATTATGTGCTGTAATTCATCGCAGTCCTCAATTATCAAAGTTTCCAACATCAATGGAGCAATAGACAAGATAAATACAGATTTGATCTTTGAAAATTTTCGTAGTTTAATTTCTTTAACATTGCGCAGGATCTGTGGTTGCTTCGAAAGACATTGAGCACTTTGCCAAAGATGAAGATAATCAAAGTTTGACACCTACAATGCAATACCAAAAAGAAGTTGTCAAATCTAACAATATCTCTTTGCATGGAACTCAAGGAATTGGCAGTGTATGTAAAATTTTTATCTTATACAAGTGATAAAGATAGGATTAATTGATAAAAATTTAAAAAAGAAAGTTCTTCTGGGAAAGAATCGAATCGGGTAGGGTTAGAGATTGACTTGACTTCAAAGTTAGGGAGTTCAGAAACCTACTTCTTTTATAGTAGTTATTCTGGTACTTACTCTGACGCCAAGAAGAAGAAAGACTGAACCAGAGTAGCTGGAAAGGAGTCTCCAAAATTGTTGAACTCTTGGAATTTGGTTGTCAAATTCTAGTTCTAATATTTACTTATGGTAGAAAATATACAATACAACTATGTAGTAATTACTTATCAGTAACTGATAACATGCTGTTGTAATAAAGATAACTTTTAAGGTGGGATGTTTAATATGCATATAGGCTATAAACATAAGATACAAGTACGTAAAAGATAACACAAAGTTAAGAGGGTTACCGATGAGGTTGAACTATCTTGCAGTGGTTCATTCGAAACCAATGGAATTGTAGTACTTTTGCTACTCTTGACTTTGCGTCTGCATTTATGAGGATAACACATATGGATCCAAGGAGAAATATTGCATTTGTTGGGATTTGATTCTATTTTTTCCATGGAATCGTTTTTACAGGATGACCCTGACAAACAAATCGAACAACAACATTTTGGAAAAATATCAATTAAATTTGGCAAGCCAGAGAACTCCACCTCTTTCAGTGAGCCAAGTATGATATCCTTTGCCTCTTGATGACTTGCATGTTCATGTTGGTATTGATGAAATATGTATTTCAGCGCACCACAATCACGTGTTATGATAGTTTCTAGCAATGGAACAACTTGAGTAGAAAGAGTTGGAAGTATATATTCCAATTGGGGACACTCGCTAATATCAAGAGTTTTCAGATTAGGAAACATTGAGGCACAACTCTTGTTATCATTCTCACCATCAACAATCTCTTCCCTTATATCTTCATTTACTCTTTCATCTGCTATTATGTTTTTTAGTTTCTCACAATCATGTATGGACAGTTTCTCCAAAAGCAAGAGGCTTTGACAAGTTGACAATTGAAATAGGGAGACCAATTTTGGGCATTTGTACAATTCAATGGTCTTAAGATAGCAGAGGTTTAGCTTGCTCTTAAACACTATGCTTCTCATATTTATACAGTCCCAGATATCTAGCCTCTGTAAATTGTTTAGAAAGTCAAAGGGAAAGGGACCATTGCATAGTTCTTCGAAATTTTCCATGCGATGGAGTTTTAGCTCAATCAACTTGGAGAAGAAACTGTGTCTATGAGAATCAATATGTGTAGTGTCAACTAGACACCGCAATTGTGGACTCTCTGATAAATAAAGCTCGATTAGGTCATTCATACCTCTATCTATGGGAACAATATCAGGTATGAGATTTCTCCATTCTCCCTTGACTTCTAGTAAATGAAGAAGTTCGGATGTTTGCACCAAATGCTTGAATGTCACTTCTGAGAAAATAGCATCAATCTCCGGAAAGGCCACACATTTTGATAAGGATTCATCCCCCATTGTACGATTGTCACTCATAATGTACCTTTGGAGTGCAGGAAAGGTTATTTTCTCATGCATTGTCGAAGTATGAAACATGAGATTCATACCAACAATGTACAATTCTTCAAGTGATGAGCACCTTTCAATCACTTTAATTGAATTCAAATTTTTAACAATACCACGTCTTAACCTCAACAATCTAAGTTTCTCCAGTTTTGCAATTTCACGTGGTAATTCATCCATATGACACGAAACCAAATCAAGAGTCTCAAGATTTTGTAAGTTTTTCAGAACAGAGAAGTCCCGTAAGAGTAATCTCACAAGGATTAGAGATCGAATATTCGTCAATGATTGGAATGACTGTGGTAATGATAGAGAAACATATCTCCATGTCTTAAATGACAAATGCAAAACTCGAAGTTCTGTCATACTTTCAAAGAATGAATTTGGGGCTTCTACAGAAGCATTTTCATCTTCATCTTCATCTTCATGCATGTAGACATTCAGAATCTCAGGTTTAGAGCTATCAAACTTACACGAAAATACATCCATACTCTTCCCTTCGCATAACAAATATTTAATATTCCTCCTCCTCTCAAGCAAGAACTTCTGATTTTTGTTAGACACATTTACTGCTTGAATTTCCTCGTTAGCTATCCATAAGGCCACATCACGAACCAAGTCATGCATTTTAACACTTTGTTTCCCACCCTTCAACAACAAACAAGAATCTACAAGTTTATTCATGGCAACAACTACTTGGTTTCGAGCTTCATCATATTTGCAATCCATTTCCCCAAGAAAGCCTGCTCCAATGCCAAATCTGGTTAAAGTTTCATTAGAAAGTTCTTCATCTTCTGGAAACATAGAACATAAGAGGAATAGTTTCTTGGCTTCTTCATCCTTCAAATTATCATAACTATACCTCAAACATTTATAAACTTCAATCAAACTTTTATCAACACCATGCATAGGCACGGACTTCTGCAAGGATTTTAAAGTTGATTTCCATTCTTCCAAACGTTGTTCACCTTTTAAACTGCTAGCAATGGCTGCTATTGCAACGGGTAACCCTTTGCATTCTTTGGTAATATCACGTCCCTTATCTAACAAACGTTTAGAGGAACTATCACTTATATTAGCATGCATTTTGAACAAGGTCCATGCATCTTCCTCAGATAACACCCCCAATTGAATTATCTTTTCGCATCCCATTGATTGGCAAACCTTCATTTCACGTGTGGTTAAAACGATTCTACAACCCTTGTGATTGTCTTTCCTTGGAATCCCAATTTCATCAAAACTAATAGGATTCCACACATCATCCAATATCAAAAGAATTTTCTCTGCACCAGTTAATCTACTCCAAAGAAGCTTGAGTCTCTCTGATTCATTTTTATCTTTGAAGTCCAATCCTATAGGTGCAGCAATGTCATCTTGAATCTTTCTTATATCAGGAGTATATGACACTGTAGTATCAATGACATGATCAAATTGTTGTAACTGCTTAAGTTCCTTACCCACTTCTTTTGCCAGTGTAGTTTTACCTGTTCCCCCCATCCCTTGCAATCCAATTATAAAGTTGCTGTCATTTTTCAGTGCATCCAAAAGTTCTTCGATTTTCGACTTTCTGCTCTCAAAAGAAACGTAATCTTGAGAAGAATGATACTCAACACCTGGAAGTTTAGGAGAAATTCCAACATTGCCACTTTTCAAGAATCTTTCAGTTTCCTTCATCTTATTTGCCAGTTGCTGTGCCTTATTATATCTCCATTTGCAATCTGGACACCATCCAAAAAAACACGTCTTTTTCATCTGAGTGTCTTTAATGAGTTCGTCAGTCTCTTTTAGGCAAGAAGTGACATCTGTTCGAATATTGTTTCCCTTACTTTGTTCCTCTTTCACACTTTCTTCCAAAGCTTTCTTTTCCTTTTCAATGTCTTCAACAATGTCCGAAAAGCAGCATACGTCACGTGATTCTGCTATTACGCAATCCATCAATCTATCTAAAATTGATTTTACCAAATCAACTCCAATATTTGCCATCTAAATCAAATTCAACAGAGGACAGTTAATAAATGGCACGAAATTAATTTACAATTTCCTATAATGTCATCGGATAATGTCTATATATACCTTGATTTATATATATAAAATTAAATATTCACGTTGAAAAATTAGAAATATCATATAATTTGATGTTTAGAAGAACGTACAATTAAAAATGACATGCTTTTAAAGGGCCTTAATTTATACAAAAATATTATAAGGTATTGATTTATGCAATATGATGTGAATGCAAATTATTAATGTATTCATTTCATAATTAATAAAATATAGGATATATTCAAATAAAAATAACAAATGGCACAAAATTAATTTATAATTTCCTATAATGTATATGATTATATATATATATATATATATATATATAATTTACCTTAATTAACATTATTGTGACAATTGCCTTGATTTATATTTAGAAAATTAAATATTTACATTTAAAAAACTAGATATATCATAAAATTTAATGTTTTGAAGAAGAAAATACGATTAAAGATGACATGCTTATAAAAAGCCTTATTTTATACAAATCATGGGCCCTTTATAAAGTATAAGGTACTGAAAAATACAATAAATTAAGAAAATTTAGAGCTCAAAAAAAAAATTAACAGCAATAAAAGATTGCAATATTTATAAAAAAAAAAGACAAAATGCAATGAATTTTTAAAAAATTAATTAAAATATATTAAAATAGAATAAAAAATGTAAAAAAAAAATACAAAGAGAACAATAGAGAAAATAAAAAGAGAAAAAATTTTAAACTTCAAATAGACAATGTAATGCAATAGGTCATGGAGAAATAATTTATTTTTTCAAATAAATTAAAGGATCAAAAGATTTCATGCTAATTAAGTTAGATATAAAGAAAGTATATAATAAAATTATTTAAAATTTTATTAAAATATTTTTTTTCTTAAAACCAGGACTCAAAGGCCTAAAAAACAAAGCAACACTTAGACTAAGGATCTAAACCAGAAAGATCCCAAAGAATCTAGCCTTAACAAAGGAGTTAAAGATGAGGGAGCTGAATCAAACTACAAGACAACTCTACCTCCTCATGCTCACATTTGGCCAACCAATCAGTATATATATCCTACCAACAAGGGAAAGAAAGTTATCCTTTTAGTTTATTAATTTTATCCAATGGACTAGAATACATATCTTAAAACAAAATATGAGATCCTAAACAAGACTCCAAATTTATTTGAGAATTTAATACTATTTTGTTGATTGAATTAGATCTTGTCTTTATATATTAGAGAAATAAATAATAAAATTATCTTTATTAATACAATGGTTAAAAGTACGAGAAAATTATCAACTAAATTTTACTAAGCGAAACCTCAACAAATAGAATAAGTTATCAACATAAAATAAATAAGATAATTTAAGCCTTTTTCTATTAAAAAAAAAAATTCACTCGTTACTACGTAGTTTATGTTGGATACAATGAGTCATTCTTTCTATACAAATTACAAATGCATATGGAGTCCTAAATGGAATAAACCGCTATCAATTCTAATTAAATAAAAATAAAAAACCTTCATATCAATTCTTATAATTAATTTTTGAAAATAAAAGTAATAAAAATATTAAAATTATAAAAGTGTAATAAATATTTTTTTAATAGAAACGAAATAATTTTAAATATTTAAAATTATCGGTTGAGATTAATACTATTAAAACCGATAAAATAAAAATAAAATAAAAAATTTTGATCCATAGAGGTTTGTATCAGAAGATGGTGAGGAATTAAAAATTGAAGTGACAAACAAGACCTCAAAAAGTGGACTTAAAAATTAGAAAAATAGAAAAGTTGAAGAAATACACTCACATTGATATTTGAGTTATGCACGTTTATATATTCAAGAAATTGTCTGCAAGAATCGTTGCCAAAGGGTTTGTATTATCCTATTTCATATTATGCACTGTCCTTCTTCATCTCCTTGCATCTCAACACATTTATCTTCCTTTATATTATCCATGCACCTTTTCTTCCTTGCATCTGAACTCAAATGATAATGCATATGATTGAAAATGGAAATTAGCAGAACAAAAGGGACCCATAAAATTCTTCTTACCCCATTTTGGGGACTTTGAGCATCAATTTTGATCACTTTGTTCAAACATTATGATCCACTGTTCACCTCTTAAAATCTTGAAGGTGTGGTCTCACTTTTATATAATACTACTGTATTCGTTTGCAAATCTTGGCCACATCTTTATTATCTTTTGCAGTCTACGTCTTTTGGGAAACAAATCGTTCCCATCTAACACTTTACAGCTGCCCATCAATTCATCAACGCATGGTGCATTTATTTTATTTGGTATACAAAGCTATCATGCATTTAACGCACCTATATACCATACAACGTACCATGCATTTATCTCTCTTTTTATGGCCCAACCTATCTTTAATTAACTCCCCTATCATGCACAAAAATAAAAGAAGAAATAAACCTATCATGCATTTAAAGTTTATTTCTCTTTTTTGTTGTTGTTATTTTTAATTAAGTTTTTTGTTGTCTTCTACTTCCAGTAAAAATACTTTTCATTAATTATTTTTTAATTAGGAATTTTCCTTACAGAAAATGTAAATGACACCACCTCTCTTTGTGAGAAAGAACATATACAGGTTATAGTCAGAATAGTGAAAGAGCATTTAAAACTGATACACGTAGTGAGTCTTTCATCATTTTTGTTTTTATAATATTTAAAAATGTAAGTAATTGTTTTTTTTTTTTATCATACATCTTTTATTATGGGTTGTTTCTTTAAAATGTTTTGTTATACGTCTTTTTGAGTCTTTGTCACACATTTCAGATTTTTTTAATTCTTTAAATAAAATATTTAAAAAAATATTTGTTTCCATTAAAACAAACTTGTACAGATGCATTCAATCCCACGCCAATTAATGAATCATAAACATGGAATCATTGCTTTGAAGTCAGAATGAACATATTTGAAAGTTATGTTGCATACAATACACTTACAAGGTGGCATGTTTTATGCGCGGAATTAACTAAGGGATCTGATGATGAAGAATCAATTGATACTGAATGAGTAGGCGATGCTGCTTTCACGGTATTGGCTGACGTTGTTTCTACTTCAAAATTTCTCTCAATACCCTGCATGTAAAAAATTATATATTAAAGTTTGGAGCATACTTATATTCTTATGGTTATAGAGTTAAAAAGGTTAACATGGGAATGCCTTTTGTATTGGAGAAAGCAATAGTCTGGGTGATATTTTCCCTTTTGCTGAATGGATGGATAAAGTTGTCGTAATAGTTTGCTTTGATACAGAATCCTCTTGATTACTTTGGTCCTCTTTTTCTTTAGGACACTGTGTACCAAAAAAATGTGAATAAGTTGTATTATATTCCTAGGAGGTATTAGAAGTACTATTCATTTTCTGTGAAGTTTTAGAGCATTACATGCATAGTTAGGTGGTTAAATTATTTCCTTGAGAAATTTTAAAGGTGGTTTCAGTTAGTCCAATGGCCTGGTTTTGGTTCATCAAGCACGGATCTTCTGTTGATTGTTCATCCAACAACACCTAAATGAGTGCAGAAGCATTAGTCTTGAGCTATTGGTTTTCTCCAATACTAAGAATACCTTAGTAGTATACTTACATCTGAATGTGCTTCATTCCTTTTAATTGGTGATTATTGTAATGGTAACTAAACAAATGAATTTATCTACACAGTGGGAACTTGAACAGTTCAAAAGAACGCTTCTGTGCGGCGAATCCTCCTAAATTCTGTTCTACCAAAACAAAAATGTCTACTTTTGTTCAATTATTTTATTTTATTTTTTTATAGCTCTCAGGCTGAGCATCATTTCTGCTACAAAAAATAATAAAACATTCAACTTTTTAAGCTAACTCTTCATGATCAAACTCATGATCTTTTGACAGGGTCCCTTTTTTGTTCAGCTACTTGAGTCCACACCTTTGACTACTTCGTCATTTCTTGCAGTGAGCAAAATTTGGCAGCTGTTGACATAAAAGGATAGCTACAGTTATATTCTGGATAGAATGTCATTTACAGCCACAACAATGTTCTCATAACACTGCGAGACTTGTGGTCCAATTTTGTCCCTTGCTGCATAATCTAGCTGCAGTGTATATGAATAACTGTTAATTGATAACCATTTACATAACAACAATGACAACAATAAACTCTTAATGACAAAGGCTTTGTTTAGTAAAACTAGTAGAAAGCTTATAGTACAATAAATAAAAGCATTTGCACTAGTTAAGTGGTGCAAAGGTCAAAGAGAACTAATAAAGGGTGTATCAGAAAGTTTATTAAATAATTCTAATAAAACATTTAGATTCTTTGATTTGTGTAATTTCTTCTCTCTGTGAATACATAAACAGGAATGAAGGTAGTATAATTTAAGAAAAAAATAGAAACTACAAAATGAATACATAGGTTTGAGCCATTTATTACTGAGTTTGAAAATGCACCTTCTGCTTTCCTGATGCATGAATATGGGCATGTTATAACACTTACTCTAGTTACATTGTTAAAGAGAATAGAATAGAGCTTCCTTAGTGGCCCCCTCAATTCCAGGCTTGTTTTGGCTTATGGTATATATATCCTTTCTTCAGGAGTGCTGAGTTTTGTCTCAATGTCTTTTGAGCTGCTTTCCATGATGCAGACTCTAATAGTTCTCTAACTTGCAACAAATCTTGTGCATGATCCTTGACTCCACTCAATGCCTCTTCAATTGTTTGACCAGGGGCCACAAATCTAAAGTCAAATGCATTTGCACTTTTGAGTCATAAAAATGCCCTCTCCACCCAAAATCAAGGAAGTTACAGCTGCCAAAGCCACCAACCTTCTACTGATTTTCAGTGAAAGTTCCTTTCGGTGTAAATGCTGGAAAGAAGGTTTAACACAAGATGTGAATGTTGGAAACAAGTGTGTCAAGTTGGGTTGCAATGTTCTAGGAACTATCCCCTGACCACATCAA